ACACACACACACAGCTGCTCATTAGTCCTAAGTAACAGACTAATAAAAGAAGAGAATTTTACTCTCCAAAAGAAACTTCTTGGGTGGTCTGTACCACACAGCGAGCTATAATATTAGTCCAAAATGAATGTGTGAGTAACTAATAAAAGCTTTGATATAAAAGACTCATCAGTGTCCCTCCCCCCCTGCCCCACAGAAACTAAATGAGCAAGCGGCCGCCATGTTTGAGTCGGGAGAAGAGCCTGAGGTGACCACAGGCCTGGGCATCATGAATGAGCTGGTGGTGTCCTGCATCCCTCTGCTGCTGGTCCACGACGCAGAGAGAGACCTGTTGGCGGTGGAGGACATGAGGAACCGCTGGTGCTCCTACCTGGGCCAAGAGATGGAATGTGAGTCCTTAAGGGAGAAGGAACACACTTAGCCTATTAGATATTTCCGGAGAGTTGAAGGCTTAGGTTACTAGTACATTCCCTCGTACCCCTGCCGAAGATCGCCATAATCAGGCCGCGGCTCAGGTCACGTATCAGAAGTCTGACAGAAAAAGATCACCTGAAGATAACATTTTATACAATACTAATGTTTGTAAGTAGATGGAAATACTTATTTATTAGTGGATTTTATTATGATGGCATTTCGATGTCATGACAATACAACACAGAACTCTGCACTAATAAACACTCGGATCTACCTGTAGCTGCTGTAGCTGTAAGATAAATGCTAAATCACAACAACGGTCACTCTAAACCAGCGGTCCCCAACCTTTTTGTGCCATGGACCGGTTTAATGGCCGGCCTTTAAGGTGTCGTGGATAAATACAACAAAATAAAGTGATACAACCGAGACAAAAACGCTGGTATTTTATAAATATAATAATAAACGTGTAATCGTGTAACTTTATTAGCAGCGTCCTCCTAAAATGCACCAACAACATTGAGAGTAACATCCTCATCTCTTCCCCTTAATGCTTTCTGGTCGCTATGGTAACGTGTAAATATTTCTTTCAAAATAAGACACACAGCTACAACACGGGAAAAAACCCAGGGAAACAGAGTTAATGATAAAAACGTTGAAAACCATAAATTTCACACCCGAGCCTCAACTCTGGCGGCCTGGTACCAAACGACTCACAGACCTGTACCGGTCCGGGGTTCGAGGGTTGGGGACCGCTGCTCTAAATCACTGTATATTGTGGGGTAAAGACCCGGCAATAGTAGAGAGAAACCTCCAACAGCAAGCACTTGGAGACAGTGGGAAGGAAAAACGTCCTCAAATATATGACTCTACTAAAAATCTCAGTGACCGTGACGTTGAGGTCAGAGGTCAGGTTTTCTGAAAATCCTGTAAATGTGATCACTTGAGAACAAGTAGGTTTATGACATTCAGACCATCCACAGACTGAGGGCTACGACTGGCTGCTGCAGGTATTTTTTCCCCACTATTATCTGATCATGAATGAGTTTAAGATGTAGAAATGAATAATCCACGATTAGATGTCAACCCAGTTGTATTTGTAACTGACTGGTAAATGGAAGAAACTGAACTGGTATTGTTGTGTACCGGAATGACCTCATAACCAGATGTTTTGAGAGGATCCTTTTCTGACGGACGGCTGCAGAGGGCTGAGCTGTTGCAGCATCAGTCGGCAGAGATGGTGACCTCTGTTCAGGAAAAGGAGATTATTGTCACCCACACCCCAATTCTTGTGACTTTTACACATGCATTCACTTTGAGACGTCCTTTCTAACTAATGAAATGGCCCTGAAAATCTGATTTTCACTGCATGGTGTCTGTTCACTTCTTGACTGCAGCTAACCTCCAGGAGAAGCTGACAGACTTCCTCCCAAAGTTGCTGGACTGCTCAACGGAGATCAAAAGCTTCCACGACCCTCCCAAGCTGCCCACCTACTCCACCCTGGAGCTGTGTGAACGGTTCAGCCGCATCATGGCCGCCCTCGGCAGGGTGCCCACCGAGGGAAGATGAGCTCAGAGGGGTCGCCGAGGTGCCTCTCCCTCATCGCAGGCCCGACACGCCGGGCAGAAATTCATGGACCTCTCTTTAACCCATGCCTTCCTTATCAATCCAGGGGTCACTCGCTTCTAGCTGTTATTCCTCTGTTACTCTTTTGCTGCTATAGGTTTTATCATTATAAATATTATTTCACTTTTATTTTAAGCAAAACACGATAGAGGGCTGTGGAGGACAGACTGCTGGGAGGGGGAAACGTATGTGAGAGAAGAAGTTGATGGATAAACGGTGGCGATCCTGAAGGGGTTGAAAGCGAAACATGTTCTGCTTCCGCTTAGCAAAAACGAAACATACACACAAAAAGTTTGAGGGTTTTTCCTAGTTTATTATTGTTGTTGTTGCCGTTTGATTCAAGCTTCCCCGAACGCACTCATAGCCCTTTCTAACGCACCCGTCTCAGTGTGAAAAGGATCACCCTGCCGCTCCGCCTCCAGTTTGGTACAGTATTTCCACGTTTTGTTTTATTTTTCTAAGGAAGTCAGAGCGAGGAAGAGAGCCTTCAGATTTATCAGCGGCTCAAGAGGATCTCAAATGGGTCTCATGTCTTTGTGGACTGCGCCAGAATGAGATGTTTTAAGTGCTGTGGTAGACGGTCATGGACTTCCTGTGGCTTGTTAATAAATTGAGAGAATAAAATTTTATTTATGGCCCTTTTAGGCCACATAAACATGTTTTTGCCTGATGTTGACTTTTCATTTGTTTGCACAAAAATCCCGGTGCACTTCACTTCGTCTCGCCGCGTCGTCCTGCTGTGCTGCTTCAGCTGCTTCGGCTGCTATTCTGCAGCTTATTAGAAGCAGGCTTTCATTAACGTGCGGATGCAAACTCCAAAGCGTGCAGCATGTGGTCGCAATAACAAGAATACGAAACGGGGACTCTGTTTCAGCAGCTTGAAAGTGGAGCTTTTTAATGATGTGACTTAGGTCTAATTTCCTGGAGTAATACTAATTTCCAGGAACACAGATTACTGCAAACAGCCCATGTGATGACGCCAGGAAGCATTCTCAGAAGTCTTTCCCAAACGTCGCTCCCAGCACCGCGCATATCTCGAGATGCACGTCATCCTGAGAGACGTCGCACCGTGCTTCGGATTTTATTTCGAGCTTCCCGCTCCTGACCTCAGCGGTGAAGGAGCGCAGCTTTGTCCTTTCAGTCCTACTCGAAACTCTTTTTAAGTGACACGTTTTATTTATCAGCTCAATATCCTTTTAAAGATTTAACGCCGTCCAGATCACAACATGGACCCTGCCGTAGTAAGGCAACAAGATGATGCAGTCTATAAGGCATGGGGAAAAAACATTCATTTCATTACACTGGGAATGATTTGTGGAGAATTAGGTTTCAACAATATACCGGTTCCTAAGTATTGATATTAACAGCTGTGTAGGATCATAAAATAAGCCGAACGTTTGCATAAAGGCAAATAACTTTGAAGGCTGAAAAGCAGCTTGGCGAGCACACTCCAGCGTGTCTGTCATTGGTCCAGTGTGAAGCACAGGTTCCAATTGCTCGTGCATTCCTGCACGTCTGTCTGAACCAGTGCTCGGCTGTTAGCTGACAGTCTGCTACAGTTGTGTCTGCCTCCTCTGACCTCTTTTTCTTTCTTTCTTTTTAATCAATGAGCCACATTTTCAGCCACAGGCCTGTCACATCATTGGCCCTTTGATGGCCGAGCCAGCGCTGCTGCACATAAGCCGTTTGCACGGAGAACCTACAAGTGGAAACAGTTTGACTGTCGGCCATATTGACATGTTTGATCCTGCACAAGAGCTCAAGCTGTTTCGAGTCAAACGGATCCATCTTAAAGGGGCCTATTGTGCTTTTTTTCCAGCACTGTTTTTGTTGCTGTGGAGTAGTTTTGCTCGAGTTTATTACACACACGCACGCATGTATATAAAACACTGACCTTTATGCAGCCTCCACAGAGCTAAAACCGCTTGTTTCAGAGGGTGGACTGGAAATTTAACCTCCTCCGTCACAGAAGCCCACCTGATTTGGTTTGACTGCCCCTTTTCTTGCTTCCACAGACTGGGGGCAGTATTTTAAAGCTCCACTTTCTCGTGTTGGAAATGACCATCTCAGGAAACCAGTGCCAAGCTGATATTGGCTCAACTCGAGGGTAGAAAATGATGAGCATTTAGGGCAGTTTGTAGCCTGATCATTTGGCACATGGGCATTATTGACAGGTACGCTGACTTAATCTTTGTCAAACGTTTAAAACATTAAATAAGAACATTCACTGCTTATGAATAACAGTCTTTTAAGTGTTTAGAACCAGGATTTTAATAGTTTTGCAATTTTCATTAGTTTTTATTTTTATTTAG